TTATGTTGTTAGTGAGTGATTCCTTATCACTGTGAGACTGTGAGACTTGTAATTTGTGATCTGGGAATGGAGACACGTTTTCAACACTCAGTATCTGACACCTGAGCGTCGGGTCTTGTCTGAAGTCAGAGTTTTCTCTTTGTAACTCCACACCCTGATGAATAAACCTGCTTGGCTTCTTACTGCAGTGGCGACCGAGTTGTAGTTGTGGTTTGTGGTCTCTTTCACTGAGAGGACAGACAGTGGCTGCTCTGCGGGTCTCTGTCCGACAGCCTGGGTTTATCTGACTTGAATTCACCTGCACCTGCTGATGTGCTTACAGCAGCAGTCACCTTCATCGCCGTCCTCATCGCCATCACGATCTTTATCACAGTCCCCCTTCTGTTCTTCATCGTCGCGATTATCCACACTGTCGCTCACCGCCACCGTCGTCTTCATCGCCGTTTCTCCCATCAGAGGCTCGGCACTCCTGAACATCGTCACGGCCGTCACCGCCCTCGCCATCGCCTTCGCCGCGATCGGCGTGTGACGTCTGGGCCGCTCGGCACCACGCACAAGGGGGCGAGGACGCGGAAACTGTACTTCTACTGAAAGAAAAAAATTAAGCCAGGCTGAAAACCTTGAGAGACTGGTCTGGCGGAGAACCCAAACTGTTAAACGATTTCCAGGTGACTTCTGCTCACTGCTGTCCGGACAGAAACTCATCCTCCACGGACGTACACCCCTGCGCCCTCAAATCTCACACGGATCCCCACTAGACTCCCTATTCCTGGACCTCTGTCGCCCTCTTGTGGCTGCCGAGGGAACTACTGGCCTGATCTGACGCACACAGCACAGGGGCAATACTGATAACATTTATAATGATGATAATAACACCTCCTTACACTTATATAGCGCCATGTTGGATAATAATATTGATGACAATGATAATAACAACACCTTACATTTATATAGCTCCATGTTGGATAATAATAATATTAATAGCAATGCTAATAACAACTCCTTACACCTATATAGTGCCATCGTGTAGATTAATAATATTGATAATAATGATAATAACAACTCCTTACACTTATATAGCGCCATGTTGGATAATAATATTGATAATAATGATAATAACAACACCTTACACCTATATAGCGCCATGTTGGATAATAATCATATTAATAATAATGCTAATAACAACTCCTTACGCTTATATAGCGCCATGTTGGATAATAATCATATTAATACACTCACACCTCTCCCAGCAGCAGCCTCAGTTTTTCCCAGGAGTCTCCCCTCCAGGTACTGGCCGGGCTCCCACCTGCTGGGCTCAGT